TATATATATATATATATATATATATATATATATATATATATATATATATATATATATATCCATATATATATATAACGGAGACAGAAAGAGAAAGAAAGAAAACACCGTCGCGGCACCAAGCCAAGCATTACTTAATTAATTTAATTTATATAATTAATTAGTTAATTTATTTATTTATTTATTTATTTATTTATTTGTTTATTTATTTATTTATTTATTTATAGGTGTTTGTTGAGGAGCTGCGTGTGCTGTGTGGCTGCCCGGTGTGGGAGGGGGAAAGCTGCATTTATATATCGGGCAACAAAAAGGCGGTCGTCAAGCAGGTGCCTATACACCTCAGAGCTGCCTATACACCTCAGAGCTGCCTATACACCTCAGAGAGAGCTGCCTATACACCCCAGAGCTGCCTATACACCTCAGAGCTGCCTATACACCTCAGAGAGAGCTGCCTATACACCTCAGAGCTGCCTATACACCTCAGAGAGAGCTGCCGATACACCTCAGAGCTGCCTATACACCGCAGATAGATGCAGCAGGCTCAACGAATACACCAGGAAATACAACACTAACAGCAACACAAACACCAGCAGCAGCAGCAGCAGATGTACCTGTTGCTGCAGCAACAGAAGCAGCACCAAAACCCGTTCGTGCGGCAGGAAACTCAAGAGAAAAAACTTACATCGTTAATTTCTGTTGCTGCTGCTGCTGTTGCTGCTGCTGTTGCCGTTGCTGCTGCTGCTGTTGTTGCTGCTGTGTGTCTTCAGTGGCTGGAGGAACTTGGCTTCTAAGGCAGCACTGTAGTTGCTGCGCAGCTAGCTGTAGCTAGCTGCAGCTAGCTACAGCTAGCTGCGGCTATCTAAAGCTGGCTACAGCTAGCTACAGCTAGCTACAGCTAGCTATGGAGGGATGTGGAGCTGCCGCTGCAAGGCGCAGGGAGCAGCCGTACGAAGTACAGCTAGCTGTAGCTAGCTGTGCCAGCAGCTAGCTACTTATAAGTAGCTACGCTACAGCTGTATTAAAATTTTGTTTTATTTGTTTTTTTTTATTTTATTTTGTTTGTTTTTGTTTTATTTGTTTATCAACACGAGAAACTGCCAATGCATATAAAGCCGTTATTTTTATTTTTATATTTTTGTTATTTGCTGCAACTGCTGCAGCGCATGCAGCTCCTTCTCTTCCCCTTACATACACATATATATATATATATATATATATATA